AAAAAAGTCCAAGTAAAATATGTATTTTCAAAAATGAGATAACTCGCAACTCCATAGGCAAATTATTTATTGTCGAGACTTGCTTGGTAAGCCCATATTCGGTCTTCATCTTGAAACTAGTACAACGCCCGTGTATTACACGGGTGCTTGCTAATTTTTTCCTTAAAATCTAAAATTATTGAGAAAAAGTAGTTGAAAATTTAAATAACTTTTATAAAAATATATATTATTATATATTTAGCATGACACTTTTTATTTGTGTGACTTACTTGTGTTATATCATAATAATTTTTTTAACTTACAACATATAACTACATTAAACAAAAATATATCAACTGAAAAATAATTTTATTTTTCTAATAAAATTTATTAAATATTATTTTTTATTATTATAAACGTAGTTTATTTTATATATACAATATGGATGTCAAATCGAAGATCATGAAAAGATGATTAATTTGATATATTATATATGTAAAACCGATAAGAAATACAAAAGTTATCAACTTTTAAAATACATTTATAATTCAATAGCTAATTGAAGGAAACAAATCAAAAGTCAGGGATATATTAGTCACTTAGTGTCTCACTATGTAAAATTACAAAGAATTAAAGGGTTATATTAGTACAAGTGATATTCAAATACCTAAGTTAGCTAAATAATATTTATGGAATGTCCGAACCAACATATTAATTATTAATATATCAATATTATTTGTCCGAACCTAATTACGAAGCATGATTCTTCGCCAAGTAGGATTCCGAAGCACCAGAAGCAGCCACGTAGACTCAGCGCATTCGGGAATTATATATAGGGGCGATGAGTTGAATAAAAGATAAATAAGAATACATTCATCTTGAGTTGAGTTGAATAAAAAATTAAATTAGAACACATGAATATTAAAAAATAAATTGAATTAAGGATGATTACAAATGATTGAAAAATGAGTGAATTTATAGGAGAACAAAATACTCCCTCCTATTCATAATAATTGTCATTTTGAGAAGTTGCACAATAATTAAGAATATTTCTTTTGTCCATAATAACCCTCTTAATGAGGATAGAGATGAATATTTTGAAAAAAAAAAAAATAAAGAGTGAACATGAAAAGACGTAATATATTTATTAGCTAAATGAGGATAGTAATGGAAAAATATGTTCAAAATATCCAAAACGACATTTATTTTGTTAATAATTGATAAAGCCAAAATGATATTTAAAAAGAATAGGAGGTAGTATAATTTAGTTAAATACTATAAATATTTGATTTGAAAATTGTATAAAAGTGGAATATATCATTTGAATGATTTAGTACACGGTTAAATTGCCTTCCATATTTTAATTTCTTGTTTTTTGTGCAATAAATCAATTTGAATTTGTGTATAAATGATTTGGAAGTCATATTTTTGGTTAGTTGCCAATCAAATCATAGTCATATAGTAATTTAAATACAGTTTGATTGGTTTCTTAATATGGGAGATTTTTTTAAAAAAAATATTTTATTAATTTGTTAATTTAGTGAAAATATTATTGTTTCTTTATTTTTGTACATATTTTCGATTCTTCTAGTGCGTACAAATTATAAATATTACTGCCATAATATTTGATTTGAGTATATTCTATTAAATGCAATAAATTGTTTGTTACGAAATTGATGCCTATGGAATTCACTTTTTTTTTGGAGTATGTTCGATCAAACTTTACCTGTTATCATTTTTTAATTGTGTTGTTTAAGTTAAACATATAATTAGTTGTGGACTTCATATTTGCAGATTTTATTCAGTTCATAATATTAAAAATTGTCGATTTGGAGAAAATATGGAAGATCACGAAAAGATATTTTATTTATTGTTACTATGCTTTGAAATATATTCACAAGTTTTCATACAAATCTGTTAGAATAGTGCAAATTTAGAATTCCTACAATATGATGGAGAACAGACCGTAATCGCCTTTTTGAATAAATACGACAGGTTTCGAGTTTAAATCATTTATTATTAATTTGCTTATTATGTTATTTTCTTTTATTTTAGATAATTGAAATAAATATCTTGCAATATGTTAGACAAGATACTAGAGTAGGACTCTTTCTCTTATTATTTATTTGAAGACTACGATGAATGAGGGCAGATTATTATGAATTGAAATTTCTGTTCGTGTTTTCTTGAGAGAGTATCTCATCTTATTCCCATTCGTACTACGCTCTACATCAGTTTGTATCCAGAGACCAGCGACGATCCACGATGCCGCCGAAGAGAGATAACGTTGACGATCGTTTCCAACGACTGGAAGAGCGATTCCAAGGGGTGGACGACCGATTCACGGACATCTCATCGGGGATTGAGGAGATTCGCTAGGCTATGAACACCATGATGGAGGAGAATCGTGCGAGACGCGACGGCGGTGATCGGGCCGGGCGCAGTGGGCTTCGCGGAGGCCGTGGAGGGCGTGGCAATGGCGGGGCGCCCCGCCGGTGTTCGCCAGGGACTCCGTCTGGCACTGATGACGAGGACACGTTCAGCGAGGTGAACCCGTT